TAAGGACAGAGAATAGCTAAGACAAGTGATCAGATGTAATAAGTCTACGAAAACTCAATACCATTAGATTTGATGGTTTTTCAAGGTCAAATGCTATGTAAAGCACGACGAAGCGAAACGAATTCCATTATACATTCAAATGTGGGTTGTTTCATTGTATTTTTAGTTGGTATTTATGATTAGACATTGATGGGTGAATTTTGCATGCTGACATTGTAATATCTAGTAGCATGTTTGCGACTATGCAGACAGATTGTAGGAGCTCATTGACCTAAAATATTCATTAGTTATTGATTTATTCATTAGTTGGAATTGAAATATGCTGCGTCTTGTGTAGGTCACACCACCCTTTCCAGTTATGTTAGCAACATGCCCGGTTGTACAATTTGAGGTACGTATTAGTTGGGTTACTGTAATTTGTTCACGACTATGGGATTTGTCAAATTTTACTGTATGACTCCAGTCTCATGAATGAGGGATATCTTTGGCAACCCATCTTCTATGAGGACACATGACTCTCAAAATTGCAACTGCCCCCTTTCGCATTTGGATTGAATACCCTCTTGTGGGATAATTTAGAAGTTGGATCCCAACCGTGCATTACATCCACTTGTTCATTATTACTGTTCTCGTAATATGTTTAGAGACCTGGTTGGCAGTTGGCACATATTTTGTGCTGCTTTCTCCATCTAGTGGTTGGAATGTTTGGAAGTTGCAATTTTGTTTTTTGTCATTGGATCAGTTTTATTTACTGTTTATGATTTGCAGGCATCAAGCCTACCTGCATCCATTTTGGACCGTCAACAGAAACTGCAGTTCAGCCTTGGCTGCCGTGTGATTTTGCCTCCAGAGAGTTTCCTCTCGCTCAGGCTTCCATTTGTTTATGGTGTCCAACTAGAAGATGGAAATCTGCACCCTCTTAAACCTTTTCAACAGCAACCAGAACTAACTGCCTGGATTACCCAAGGCTCAACATTGCAGGTCTTGTCCAAGGGAAGCAATGCTGTTGAGGAATCACTTACATAGTACTGAACCTATGAGTCGAGGCAGTGGTGATTTACTTCTATCGAGAGTTTGCAGAGGAAATTTTCTTTGGACATTTCTGCCCAGCCTCAGGTGAGAATAATGTTTGACGCATACTTAATTCTTTAAAGGATAAATTTCACGAATGCCCCCTGGAAAATAGCCTAATTGCAGGGACACCCCCTATAGTTTCTGAAATATTACTATCACCCCATGTCAGATTTTGTCTTTAACGAAATAGACGGAAATTCTACTTTTACATAATTACCGTTAACAGAAAACCCTTTTTACTCATTTACCCTTAACAGAACATTAAATTTAATTAAAATTGATTTTCAATTTCATCAGTTTCATCAAATTTATCAATTTCATAGTTAATTTTATCAATTGACTTTTACTTTCATTAATTCAGATATTAATTTCATCACATTACCACTAATTTCATCAATTTAACATCAAATTAATATATAATTTTATCAAATTCGTATTAAATTTCATCAAATTAATATTTTAAAATTTAATTTCGTCAAATTAACATTCAATTTATTTAATTTAGAATTTAGTTTCATCAAATTGACATTTAGTTTCATTAATTCAAATATTAATTTCATCACACTAACCCTAATTTCATCAATTTAATACCAAATTAATATTTAATTTCATTGAATTCATATTGAACTTCATCAAATTAACATTTTAAGATTGATTTTTTTCAAAATAGCATTCAATTTATTTAATATAGAATTTAGTTTCATCAAATTGAATTCATCAAATTGAAATATTAATTTCATTAATTAACATTAATTTCATCTATTTACCACATTAACATTTTAAAATTTAATTTCGTCAAATTAAAGTCAAATTAATATTCAATTTATTTAATTTAGAATTTAGTTTCATCAATTGAATTTCAATTTATCAAATTAAAATTCAATTTAATCCAATTAACACCTATTTTATCAAATTTAATACCAATTAGCATTCAATTTCATGACACACCTATTTTGTTAGATGTTAACAATCAACTTCATGTTATTAATGAAATAGAATATCAAATTGCTATTAATTTGGCGAAATTAAAGGTTGATTTGAGGAAAATTGAATATTTATTTGATGAAATTTGAGGTCAATTTTGTGTTAATTTGATAAAATTGAATGACGATTGGTTGGATGTAGATTCGCTAACATCATCACTTTTTTGGCCTTGTCAGTAGTATCATATCATTGACAGTAGGGGTAGTAATTGAAACAGACATATGAATTATAGGGGCGGAACAGTGATATTTGAAAAACCATAGGGGTGTCCCTGTAATTAGGTTATTTTCTAAGGGTGTTTGTGAAAGTTACCCTTCTTTAAATCTTTGTTGTTCTTCATTTAATTGACAGTCTCTGCTCTAGCATATCTTTTTTTTTTTTTTAACTCTTGTTATGTATATCTGTTCTGCCTCTTTTGCAAACACTGTTTGCAGTAGATATTGGCTGATTTTTCAGTTTAAATAGATTCCCTTGGAAACAATCAGAAAAATGAAAAAAAAAATAGTTTTCTTGTGTAGCACCAGCACTGCAACTTTTTGGACAACATTCTGGAGATAAATACTGAAGTCAGTATTTCATAACCTTGAGATACTTATTTTTATAAAGTATAATCATATTAAGTCAAATGCGCTAAAGGGGAAAGTGGAGATGGTGTTGGCATGTTATGTCTTTTGTGAGTGAAATTAGCCAAACTGTATGATGTCGTTGTAAGCCAATGACGATTAAGGGAATTATGAAACACTATGTTAAAAAATTAGTTCTAGTTGATATGTGCATGTTAAGGATTCTGAGAAGCAAGTGAGGGCAAATAATCTGCACACTTCATGTTAAAAAATTAGTTCTAGTTGATATGTGCATGTTAAGGATTCTGAGAAGCAAGTGAGGGCAAATAATCTGCACACTTCTAGAAGGGGAACCTACGACAATTGGTGTACTAAAGTTGCAGCGGAAGGATCATTCAAAAAGGCCTTTGATAATAGTTTGGCTTTTTTAACATGTTTCTTTAAATTTTTTAAAGCATGTAACTAAAAACCAATTGGTAATTGATGGATAGGTCCACAAGGGTCATATATTGGCTGGGAGATATTATTTCATCAATGCGTGGTAAGCTCTAACACTACCCTGTACCTCTAACACAATCATGTAGGTCAGAATTCCACTTGCACGTGAATAGATAAACAAAAGAATCAGTTTGGAAATTTGGATACATGACAAGTGCACATATTCTACAAACAAAGGGGAATTTAATTACCAAATTGAGTCATGCCCAAACCCTGCCGGAGCCCATCGTTGATGCTAACATCCAACGCAAAACCAATTGGTAATAGGCAGATGGGTCCACAAGGATCATATACTAGTTTGATGGATGATATTTTTTCGATGTGGGACAAACTGGGACAAAGCCAAATCCAGTATGAAATATTTGAAGCAGTGATGACTTGAGTCAATACAAATGGACTATCAAGGTGCCCAATGGCTTCATATTCTCAAAAACCTTTTTTTTTTGCTAGATCTTGTGGGATTTCTACAAGTCAGATTCCTTTTGAACACTTGACTAATAATTTCGTGGGTGACCAATTATTCTGCTAATCTGCAAAATCCACAACATAAAATGGTACTTCCAAATATATACGAATTTTCTACATGTTTAATTCTTGTCAACTCTGCTGGGATGGTCCTTTTGCTCCAGTTTTTGGTACTCTCTTTATATGATTTGGAAGAAAAAACTAGTTGGTTTGGTCAATCATTTGAGGCAGGTTGAATATGTTGTGGAGTATATTGTAATTCATGAGTGTCTCATGGTAGTGAGGGTTTTTGTAATTATGTTTGAGTTGCAGAGATTTAAATTGTATTGCTCTGATTCTCACATGTGTGAGCTTTTGTCTCGAGGTTCGTTTTGCCTTTTTTGTCTTTACTATCATCAGTTTCTTAAAAAGTCTTTAGAAGCCCCCTCTTAATTTATTTGTGGATTGTTCTGAGCACTTCACCACTTAATCGAAAAGCAACAAGGCGACTACTTTTGTGATTTTTTCTTTTTGCTTGGTGATGAGGATGATTTCTAAGGTGGAAACATTGACAATTAGTTGCTTGACTTGTGTATTTTCTGTTTTCACATGTTAGGATGTGGGATATTATTGGTGTCTTTTTTAATTTAAATTTTCATGCTTTTGGTTGCCATTAAGATCGAGATATTATTGGTGTTTGTTTCATTTTAAACATTTATGCTTTTGATTGCATTTGAACATTTAGTAGTAACTGAACTATAATATTTGCTTGGTTTGTATACTTTCGTCTCACTGCGATCAAGCTCTCGCTTTGCCTGTCGCCTCTTGCCTAGGCCTCAAGAGACCTAAACACTTCAATATGCTTTACGCCTTAAATAGCACTGGTCACATTAGAGTATTGTTACGTTCTACTGGGCTGAGAACTGTACATGGATGAAATTAGGCGGTGATTTAAGAAGGTTCTACATAGTAAACTCCAGATTTTAATCTAAATTGAATTAATTTCTGTTTTTACGACTTTAGGAGGATTCTGATCTCTTTCTTGGGATTTGAGGAATATGTTTATCAACTGGATGCAGGAAATGCAAAAAGCTATATAAAATCATCAAGAATTAAGGAACATAATTTGGTTACAAAAGAGACTAGATTGGATATGAAAGGGAAGCTATGAGCTAGGCTCATTCAAGGGAGTACATTAATTACATCTATTTTTTGTCTGTGTAATTAATTGCAGAGCCAACAACTGTATACTTTTGATTGAGATGGTGGGTTCCAACTTGAGGACAACCACTTTGTGAATAGTGTTGAAGTTAGGTCTCTACCCAATCTTGCATCTCCTAGTTTCAGACCCCTATTAATGGGGAGGAAACTGGTGGTTAATTTTTTTAAAAATTTTTTTGACTGTAGAATCTAACTTTGTCCATCTAAATAGTGGAAATGTGTGGGACAAGGGCTAGCAGAAGTAAAAATACGGTAACCTTGTTTTTCTTTTAATTTTGACACCAGTGGTATTTTGGGTGAGGCTTTTAATGTAGGATATCCAACATTGTACGGATCCCACGTCAAGGACTCCTAACTTTTCCGGAGTGCTTGTATGAAGGAATTTTTTATTCTTATAATTATGAATTAGTTTTAACTATCTACCACTTTTTTTTTTTTAACCATGATTTTGCAGTATGGATCTTGCAGTTGGTATTGCTGCTATGAATTTGATAAATTGTCGAACGTAACGTTAACTCGTAGCAGTCTCAAAGTAAAGCTAGATGTTTGTGTTGTCTCATTTTTGTTTAATGGTTACATTTGCCCAGGATAAGGAGTTAATGGTATAAGGTTTTGGTGCATCTGGGGGTTGCTGATCTGCAGTCAAGAGTAAATGCAGAACTGGAGAATGTTCAGCTGTTGACAGGTAGTATCTTCATCACAGTAATTTTTAGATGTAAACCTGTTCCACCGGGACACATATCTCATTGAAGGTTGATGCTCATGCAGTGATCAGTTGGTCCTCTAAATGGCTGGTTCATGGATGGAGGAGAACTTCAAAGCCTCTAGGTATGCTTTCTTTATCTTTGCATGCCTGCTTCCTCAATCCATATTTTCCCATTGAACTGGAGTTATTAGCAAATGACTCAGATGATTTGGTTTTGTGATTTGTAACTGCAGCTCTCTATGATTCAGCCATCAGAGAGTTCTGGAAGTTGTGCTTTCATATTATGTAATTTAATTTTCTGGCATATACTGTAGGACTATGCAAATGTGCAATTGCTTGGGTACTCAAATTGGGTTTCTTTAACATTAAAGTAGTTTGTACACCTTAGGTAATTGACATAAGTTTGTCTCTACCAGGATAAACAATATTTTAATACTAGGTGAAAGAAAGTGTCATGATTGCATCTTACATCGGCCTAAGGTGGTTAGGAATAATTTGAATCATGTGTGATCATAAATGAGTTTTATTTGTATGGCGTCTTTTTACTTTTAATACAATTGTGTTTCCTATCATAAAAATAATTTGAATCAATGTCTTAACAGTCGGTGCATTGTGACCCCACATGAACTTTTAATGATTCCAGTTGGGTTTAAATATAGCAAATCAAAACCAGAAAGAACCAAAGGGTAAATTGGCTTTGCTGATTGAAGCAATCAAATTTGCGTGTTTCAAGATCCAGTTATGTTGATGAAGAGGGAAGAGCTTGCAGATCAACAAAAATTAATATGTGGTTGCATGCTTGACACATTAATGAATAACTAATCCAGTTGTTAAAAATGTCAAGGAAGTATCTTAAGTTAGGAATGCAGGTGAACTGTTCTTATTGATTAAGCATATACCTATTAGTTTGATAGGTAGCATGCATTCATCTGTATCCAAGCTAAAACTTGAACCTGCACCCCTCCTCTTGCCTAAGTTAATGACTCATGATCAGACAAAGCACTTTTCAGCTCTGCTTTGATCGGTGTACTTATTGGAGAACCATAAGAACTCTAAAGCTTTTGGGCAATCCTATGGTTTCCCACAACGCCATGCTTTCCCAATCAACGCACTACTCTAGATTCATGTTGATTGATATCTGTGGTGTCTCATGTCCAATAGACACGAGTATTGCTTTAATTTCTTCAGTGCTCTATTATTTATCTATATTGCCTATATATTTGTAGATGCTATTACACCGTTTTTTTTTTTCTGGAGGAAAGAAAAAGTGGAGGTATTAGGCATTGAGGGACAGAACTTGAACATGACAAAATACGCTCTTGGTGAGGAATCCTAACATCACCTAGAAGTGGAATGTACTGAACGATAAGATCTGTTGCAATTTGAAGGGACTTTTGTTTCAGAGGCAATGAAGCTAGAGGATCAGCAAATGAAAAAACATGAGAGAATGCAAATGCTGCTAGTAGTGCAGCCACTGGACGTTTCTGGACAAGAAAGAGCGACCAGGGTGATGTTTCCAGCTGATCATGAGCAGGCTGACATGTCATTGGTCGATCGACCTGGTAAAAAATGGTTGACTAAACTTGCTTTGAGAATGTTTCAGCCATATACTTACATCCAGTACCTTTGGCGTGCTTTATTACTCACAGCTTAGCTTATGATAAAATGCTAATCCCTCTATCTGGCATACAGAACTTTTTAATATATGTCTACATAAATGGTTTGTAAAGATAGTGGATGTTGGTTAATGTGTGGGTTAATGGCCTTTTCCTACTAATATGAGTATCATTTTTTGATGTTTACTTTGACATTGTAACATCCATTAGGCGATTCCTCTTTTTTTGGTCAGATGCTATTACAGGGGAGGGGAATAATGAGGTTCAAACCTACGACCTTAAGTTCTAACAACAGGGATGGTGGTCATTAGGCCAACTGCTAATTTCCGTTAGCCTATTCCCAAGTTTTGGAGAATGTCTTCATAGCTGAAGATGATAAGTGTGGCAATGTAGCATTAAGTTGGTGAGTAGCTGGGGTTGAACTGCCCTTGTTTGACAGGTTATGGTACTGCAGAAGCAGGCATTTAATGACTTGGAATTGGATTTATGACTCAAGATAAGCCTGACAGGGAAGATGGAGTTTGGATATTGTTGTATTATTATTATTTTATTTCTTGTTATAGTTGTGGAAACAGGACCATATTGTTCCATAAATTGATAGAAATGTATGGTTACATACGTTGTTAGAGAGAGGAAATAGTTAGTTGGCCTAGTAGCAAGTATGGGATTACTAACCCCACGGGTGGCCCAGCGGGTAAAGTTAACTATGGGGCGCGTTGTATATGCAGATGTTTTGAATTTGACACTGGTTAATGTATCTTGAATTAATCAATATTTATGGCTTGCAGGTAATTCAGGTTTATTCAGAAGGATGAGTCCAAAAAGCCCTGCCTCGGAAGAGTTCCAGGTCAAGAAAAAAAAGGGTATTCCAATTCTTTTGTATACTTAAAAATCAACAGATCAATTAAAGTTTATAGAATTGATATTCCGAGTGAATCAACATGTATAGAGTAGAACTTTGAACTAATATTTGTGCACAAATCAACAACTTGATTTTATTTTATTTTTTAATCCCTTCTTGTTCCTTATAGATATACCTATATATGTACACGCTTCCCTATGCTTGTGCCAAACTTGCTTTGTTTAATGACGGATATAATAAAATTTTATGTTGAAAAATTTATTTTTCGATATGCCACGATTTTTTTTATTATAAACAATAATAGTAAACATATCGTTTTATATACTTGAATCATAATAATAAATTCAGACAAAAAAAAATCATAATAATATAAAGGAAAAATTTCAGCCACACTTTTTTTAATTTATCATATTTTTAAGGATGCCCCTATATTATTCAAAATATTATTGACACTCTTTTTAGTTTATATTTAAACATTATTGACACTACTTGTTATTAAACACCGTTTTAAACAAGAAAAATTTGTCTAAAATATAAAAAATTGTCCCTGTATAAATTCCAAACAATCTTTTTATATAAATTTTGATTAAAATTTGATTCGAGTTGATTAAATTTTGTTGTTTTATTAAATTAAAAATTCGAACTGTTTTGAGCTCTACTTAAACTATTAGCGCAGATTAAAATCTATATTTTTTCTTTATTAAATTTCATGCCAATTAAAGTGCAAGTTGATTAAAATTTGAATTGGCTCAAATTTTAGTACTTAAAATAATATAATTTTTAATCGACTAGAATTTTAATAGCTAAAAAATGAATTTTAATTAGCTTGAATCGTATTTTAATATGTAAAATAATTTAGAAAATAGAGGATGTCTCATTAAAGATATATCTATCTAGAAGGACCGTAGATGAAAGTTTTACTAAAATATATCATATATAATTTAGTAAAATTATATTCTAATTAATATTTTTAATCTGACAGATGGTGTCAGTGAAAATTCATAAAATAGAGGGGAATGTGACTAAAATTTTTCCTAATATGAAAAACAGAATACCTAATATCATAGAGATGTAACGTAAAACATGCAAATGTGTGAATGTGTGTATGTGTGTGTGTCAAAAATGGACTGCGTTTGTGAAGCCTGTGGTGGCTCCACCACCGGTCCTTGTAGAGCTGTCACCGATAAGAGAGCCAGCCTGGTGGCATTACCAGAGGGGATAGCCCTATCATTTTGTGGGATAAGAGAAGAGGGAGGGAGGCCCATGCCTATATCATTCTTTTCGGTGAGAGAAACATTCATTGATCACCACCACTCCAAAAGAATGAATCACATGACATTTTTAATGCCTTTTTTGAGAAAGACATGGAAACAAGGTTCAAGTTATTATTCATTTCTAAAATTTTTTTCATCGACTCAATTAAGGTATTAGTGATTTTTCCTATTCGATAACAAAGATCGCATCTTTTTTTTCACTTCCTTTAAATAAGAGTTTTACTTGTTCGAAATTGTTATGTTTTCGACAATTTGAATTGATCTCAATTTTTTTTTTCAATCGACCATATCTCGATCACATTGATTTGTAACATAACATTTTTAAAATGAGGGTTGATATAATTGGATCATATCTTTTTATTATTATACCAAATTATACAAGGTGAAGAAAAAAAAAAAATAAAAATAATATATGAACATGAAACATCTAAGCATGTTCAATACATAATAATGAACTTATTTTATATTCTTTTCTTGCCCACAGGATAAGAATGAATATATTCACTTTATAGAGGACTCAAGCCATTTGTTTTTCTATTCCTTCGAGTGGATAATGTTCCTATTTTCCTTTCTTTTCTTTCTTTTTTTTTTGGCTTGTTGTTTTGGGTCAGTGAGAAACTTCGCATTTTCAGTGAGGTTTAGTCATAGAGGCAAATCAATTTGCCACTTGATAGCATAGAAAGGAACTTAAGGTGTACTTTGAGTGGTAATAAGGGTTAGTTGTAAATTTAGATGTCATAGTTTAGAACATTGACAATTTCATGGAATCAAGTTATAAGAAATTGATCTGTCATGAATACCTTAACTTCGATGTGGAGATTTGTATTTGACCAGACCGGAAAGATAATTAATTAAGACGTGTATAAACTAGCTCGAACACCTTTAACCGTTGAACCCAAAAAAAAAAATAATGTAGAAAGGTAAAATAGGATTCCATTTTTCTATTAGGATGTTTGACTCAAGTGGAGGGAGGAGATACATTGGATCTTTTTAAATACTGGGGGGTTAGTTGAAACAGAACCAAAATCAAAAACTTATTGAAATTAGGTGAAAAGGTTAAAGGACAAATGTACTTTTTGCTCTTTATGTAGCCTTAAAATATCCCTAGGCCCTACCAACCCAATCAAGTGAAAACACACCCATTTTGTCGTAAGGAGTTTCTCAAGGAAATGGATGGAAGGGACACATTCAAATTTCTAAATAGTTGAAGGACTTAATTCAGGAAAAAATAAAAATTATGTGCTTAATTAAAATTGAGTCTAAAGATCTAGGGGCTAAATATGATTTATATCCTTGAGGAAAATATATCAAATTACCAATTATTGCAAGTTTGAATTTTGAATGCTTTTCTCACATGTCTTTGCAAAAAAGTGTAAAATCAAACAGCAAGCAAATGGTTTTGGTGGCAACCACTTTTTATTTTGTCGTTTTGATGAAATATGCTCCTAAATAATGCAATGAAAGCTCAAAATAAAAAAGAAACAAGAGAGAGAGAGAGAGAAAGAAGTTATTTCAATGCTGATCTCATTTGGATAGGAAGAGATATTGATAAATTATTCCAAGGATGTTTACTACTCAACTGGTAGATTAGGTGAGCCAGCTATGATCGCTAAACTTGTCAAACCACCAACATATACAAAATTGAATAATAGGTTTCAATATAGTTAAGGAAAATGGATTTTAGAAGTAGGATATGAAAGTTTATTTATTTATTATTTTTAATGTTATAATTTTTCAATTTTAAGAGATGGGAATAAAAGAGAGCGCGGAAAGACCACCCCAATAGACCCTCATTGGTGGGATCATAATGACTCCCGTTACTCTTCTCTGAAAGGAATTTAGTTAAGTTAATATAACGGTCAACTACTGAGTCTCAATATAAATTCTAAGACTCGAATCTCCAATTTTAAAATGAGTACGAAAATTTATTTATATACAATGGATAGCACCTATAATCTATGGACGACTAGTGGAGTTCATAAAAAAAAAAAAGGTCTATTACAAAGTTGTCCTTCTCTCTATATCTCTACTTGTTGGGTGGTTGCAAATAATAGTGTGGCAAATATCATCAAATTTTTTAAAGGCTCGATCATGAGGAGAAAGTCAACCACTCAAGCTAAAGCTAAACAATCGACCCTAACAAGAAAAAGAGAGCCTTGGGAGCCTTATGCGGCTAATAGAAGAGTTCTTATTATTAGAGAGAGAGAGAGAGAATTTATTTCAATGATGGTAGGTTTCTTGCCACACTGAATGTTGCAGTGGTAGTAGGTTGTTGCCACTTAGTGAACTGCCTCATCAGAGGATCTGCCCAATAAACCCATTGTTTCTAAATTCTAAAGTTTTTAGGGTTAACCCCAAGGAACAACTCAAGTAATAAAGAAACGATTTGCAAATTTAGACGTCCTTAGTTTAAATTTAAACAACTCCTTAGGGTTAGGCCTTGAGAGATTTATTTCTTATGAATACTTTAGTCCTGACGTAGATAATCTACCTTTGACCAGACTAAAGAAAGAATTAGTCAAAACGCGCTTAAGTTAGTCCGAACACTACTAGCCGTTGAACCAAAAAAAAAAAAAGTTTTTAGGGTTAGAATATGGTACTGTAACAAAACATACAATTTTTTGTAGATTAAGTTATGATCGATTCTAAAATTTTAGGATACATCCAACATATCCTTAATATGTATAAACTGATTTAGGATTGGTTTTAAAATGTTGGATTCTATCCCAAACATCTATCTGTAAATACTCATACCCTGATCATTTAATGTTTGAGACCGATTTTAAATTAACACGTTCAAATTATACCCCTATTAAATACTTGTCGCCTTTTGGTATAAAATAGAATAGGTAGAAAACGACTCAAACCAAACTTGATAATTATTCCTATTCGAAATTTGTGT